TAAAACATGCAGACACTTAGATCTCATGCTCAGAGAATCAAATGTAATTAATTGGTCTAGGATATGGTCTGGACATGGGAATTTTTTAAAAATTTGCCACAGGATTTGTACCCTTGCTAGAGAGAGACAGAGAAAGGGAAAGGTCTCCTCCCCCCAGGAGGATGGCTATACCACAATCCCTTCTTGTCTCAGGATTTGGGGCATGAATACACATGTGCCTGACATGATTTTCCAACCACCAGTTCTGGGAATCAAACTGCACAGTTATCCATGTGGAATCCAGTTGCCTTAACCACTGCACCACCATCTGACTCCTGGACATGAAGAGTTTTAACAATTTCCCAGGTGTTTCTAATGTGCAGTCAAAGATGAGGATCACTCATCTTATATGAGACTGTTAACAAAATCATAACATTTAAGAACCACTGAACACTGTAAGGTTGAGCTACATTCAACCTTCTTTTTTCACCCTTTTTCTTATTTTTAATATTTCTTTTTCATTTAACAGGCTCATGGAAATTTCTAACTACAACCTGCCTTGCCTATCTTTCCTACATATTCACTTCAGATCTGAAATAAGTTAGAAAAGCTCATAAATCTCAGAAAGAACATCATGCATTGTTCAAGCACTGTGCTATGTTCTAGCCTAATTTTCCCACTGAGTTTTAGTATCTCTCAAATTAATGCTGCCTTAGGGGAGCACTCATTTAACCATATAGGCACACACTTAACACTGTCAAGCACTCTGGGAAGGTTGGACTCTGGGAAATTATTTTCTAGCTACAATTCCTGGGAGACCATGACAGGAATCGGAAAGACAACTCATTAATTCTTGTATATTCCTGTGGCCTTTATCTAGAAATGAATGTATCTTGGAAGTTATTATCAATATTTTGGTGTAGCATGGAATTAGAGATAATAAAATAGAAGGCTTTTAAAGTATATTTCATAAGCTAAAGTAAATGATACTCTTTTCTAACCTAATAAAACGTGTCTTTCAGGCCAGCCAGTGGTATGGTGGTTAGGGTGACTGTGTTCCATGTGGCCAAACACATGGTTCAGGTCTCACACTTGAACGTAGGAAATACACTGGATGTGTGTGTGTATATACCCAAAATATTGAAAGGAGAAATGGAGGAGAAAGGATTGTGGTATGGCCTTCCTCCCTGTAGGGCACTGTTTTCTTAGTTTCTCTCTCTCTCCCTGTCTCTCTCTAGTAAGTGAATTTGCGCTATAACAAAAAAAAATTTTAAAAATACATCTTTCAGTAATCCAGAATATTCAATTTCCTCATATTATAGTGTCATATTTCCACACTTAGACCATATTAGGATGAGATCAATGTATCTCTTTCTGGCCAGTTTTCCCTTAACCACATTTTAGTTTGAAAGTTTGTTGGTCTTGATTTATGATACTTATTGAAAATCTCAGTAACATGATATCTTATTCAAACATAGCTCTTTATTGACCTTTAACTTCCCTAATTTAGACTTGAGGAAGTTTTTGTCCTCTTCCTATACAAGTGGCAAAGTTTCATGTATTGTATGGGAATACGTTATATAACATCTAAAAGGGTTGACATCCAAACATTTATGATGATCTGCCTCATTAGACCAAACTTTTTCTTAGTCTAATCAACTGAAAGGCTAATCTTTTTGAGAAGCTCACAGTAAATGTCAGGGACAAATGTGAAAATATATGTCATTTTTGAGATAATGCTGCTGGCAACAATAATTTCCAGTAGCTGATTTACAATCACAAGAATTTTACCTTATTACAGGATAGCCTCTTGAATGCTGTCACCACAATTAATCAAGTTCTGCATGAGCTTCTCCATAAATAGGACTTTTGGTTTCCAGAAAGGCTAATCAATGATGGGAATTCTCTCAAAACCACCTGGGTTTGGGAGGATCTTCAGCATAAACACAAGCAGAAACATCTACATGGAACCCTTTGGTTCATTAGCTGTTTTGCTCATTTCTGCAAGATTCGCCCCTGGCCTTCCTTTTTTAAAGGAGATTTTTACCTAAAAGAACAGAGAGAGAGAGAGATGTTTTGGTAATATTATTCTGAGATTAGAGAAGCTATGGTCCTAACACAATCTCATGGTGTAGGTCTCTAAGCTCCTCCTAAGTAGGAAAGGACCTGTGAAATGAGCAAAAAATACTTAGAGTGATTTGAATATAATGAACTGTTGTCAGATGTTGAAATGTGGCACCCTCAGGTGGGAGAGCTCAGGAAAATGACCCACAAACTTGGAGTTCCAAATTGTATAAATCTACTTAATCACAAAATTTTATTCTCTTGTCAGAATCAACAGACATATCAGAGATCCTCCTGAGCTGAGTCTGTAGTACTGTTGGGTTGTCACAAAAGTTATGATATTTTTCTATGTTTCTCTATGCAAAAAAAATGCATCATGACTTTTCTGATAACCCAATATAATTTAGTTAGAGTGCCATCTCTTGGAAGAAGTCTGAGATCCTTTCCGTGAAGTATCAAAAGAATTCTGCCTAGTACATTTTCATAATTCTCTCAGTCAAAGCCCAAGAAACTGGCTCCTAGCTCTTTTCTTTCTTTCTTTTTTAATTTTTTTTTATTTTTATTTTTATTTTTATTTTTTTATTTTTTTTTTTTTTTGCTAGAGAATGTCTGTGCTCACTGGAGAGTGAGCAAGAGAAAGAAAGAAAGCACCCCCCGTGGAGGATGGTCACGCTGCAATCCGTTCTCTTCTACTTTTCCCTTCAGGATTTTAGGCATGGACGCACATGTTGACTGGCATGTTTTTTAAGCCACCGGGTCCAGTTCTCAAAGTGTCAGTTGGTCATATGGGATCCAGCCACCCCAACCACCAAAGCACCCTCAGGCCCAATTATCTTCTTGATAGCTTATTCTGTCCTTTCAGAACCTGACTTGTTGGGATGATTTAAATGATTTAATCTTAGTGAAATGATTAGTAAGTAACATGAGAAACTAGAGTGAACAAAGACTTTGAGTAGGTGGATAATCATGTTTTTGTCCTGACTGTGTCATGCACTAATTGCATAAAGTCATGGTAATGTGGTAGTGATATATGAGTGTGTATACATGTGTATATATACACATACATAAATGCATATGTCTATGGAATCATTATTTACCTTCTTTAATGTCAATCAGGGCATATTTTATTTGGGTGGTTTCTCTGGTGCACAGCCTTAAAAAAAGTATGCATTGTGGTTTTCAGCTCCAGTGGTCATTTCCTTTTCTTCTGCCAGATTTATTTTCTGGTAATGCTATGTGCACATTCAGATACACTTTTGTTTCTCTTAAGAGGTTTTTGCCTTAGGGTGTATGCACTCACTAGAGAGACATAGAGACAGAGACAGTGAGAGGTAAAGTGAGAAATCACTCCCTGGAACGCCAACCATGACGCAATCCCTTTTCCTCCATTCTCCACCTGGGACCTTGGGCATGCATGCACGTACACACACCCAGAGCGATTTTCAAGCCACCAGGTCTGGGACTCAAACTGCAGTTGGCCATGTGTGGGTTCAGCAACAAAATCACTACACCATCTGTTGTTCTCTGGGTATACTTCTAAAAATATCTTTCTTTTATAGTATTTAGTCTTTCCTCCAGTTGGCTCAACTGTGAGCCCTCACCAATATTAAACATTGATGGGGCCAGATGGTGGTACAGCAGTAAAATAAAATGTTCTTCAAGGCAGTTTCACATGGGAAGTTCCCCAGTTCAGTTCCAGAGACCTTCCTGAGTGGGCTGGACACATTCTTGCCCATGATATGGAGCTAACTGAAGGCTGAGGATGGATTGCAGCATGTAGACCCTATTAGGAGTGTGTGTGTGTGTGTGTGTGTGTGTGTGTGTGTGTGTGTGTGTGTGTCTTTATCTCTCTCACTCATAGAATAATTTTTAAAAATATTTAACATCACTATTGTGCTTTACTGAAAAATGTTTATTATCAGTGTATTTTTAACTTGTTAAAATAGTAATAAAGAGAGTGAAAATTGTAAGAGCTTCTATTTTATCACTGAGCATATTTTGTGCTCCTTGAGGATAAGGAACAGAATAAGTACAAACACATCTCTTAAATTCTAATTTGTCAAAACTTATATTTACTTATGAAGCTCTACTTAATGAAAAAATTGTGATCACCTCAACGGAAAGAACTGTTTTTTTCATTTGTTGAATGGAATTGAATCATTTCGGCAGACATGAAAGTGATTCAGGCCCATTTACCAAGTGTCATTATTTTGTATCACATTTATTACATCTACACCATGAGTCAGACTAAAACAACACAATAAGTGAAACATGGTTTCCAATCTTTGATTAATCATGTACAGAGTGGCTTCTTTGCACCAAGACCCTATGAAAGTGCTAGAGACATTGTGGTAACTATGACATGGACTCAACTCACTAAGAGTTGGAAGAAGCTAAGGCCGACATGTGGGAATCAGTTAAGGAGCTAAACAAGATATCCTGTAGTCAAATACTAAATAGTTTGGTAAAGACAATAAGTCAATAGGAACTGAGTGGAGCAGAGGTTGACAAAGGCCTATACTTGACAGGAGACTGGACTTTATTTGTCCTCAAAGGATGCGGAAGATTTGTATAGAAAATGGCAAAGAGGGCATATCAGATAGGGAGAAAATGAGCAAAGGCCTTAGAGGTGGAAGCAAACATGGTGAGTTGAGAGAAAAGTAAGGAACCTGGACTGGATGGGAGAATGCTAGTGAACAGTTGGGGGAAGGGAGTTGGAAAAGTAAGGTAAAATTCAATTCCAAAAGCCCTAGAGATGAGCAAATGTGGTCAGACTTAGCACTCAATTGTCTTTGTAGTACAGTATGACACAATAGTTGCTGACTTGTGCCAGTATGGCTCTTGTGAACTTGGTGTCGTTCATATGTCCTCATCATTTTTCTTGTAAGATTTTCCTCCCCTGTGCCTTTGGTTGTTGCTACTTGCATGTTCAAGTCAGAATGTACTTTCTCATTTAGGGGAAGCACTGGTTCATCAGATCTCAATGACCAGGAGGCTGGTCCTGGGACCCCGAAGAGCAGCCGGAGCAATGGTATGACTACAGTCACTCAGAGATCACCAGTCCCAAGCACGCGCAGTGTAACCTCAGCCAGCAGTAGAGTAAGTACACAAACGTGAATGGACATCCAGCCTCTGGGACTTGATCTCACCACCACATTGCATCTGGGTTTGAGTATGCTGCACTGTTGTTTATGCTGTTTAATGCTAGAAGCTTCTTTATTGGTACTGAATCTTCTATATCCTTAACTTTTGACAGGAAACCCAAAGTGAAAAGGAAGAGGAAAGACCAAGTTAGCAGGTGTTATTTGTATGTTGGGGATTTAATGTCTTTATGATTTAAGGAAATATAAGGATTTTTAGGCCTAGGAGGCTGGCAGGTGGTATGGTGGTTAGGGTGCTGGACTCCCACATGGCCGACCATGGTTCATGTCCTGAGCCCGGTGTCTTGCTTTCTCACTTTCCCTCTCTCTTCCCTCTCTTGTCAAACTAATAAGTAAATAAATAAATAAATAATTCTTTAAGAAGAATTTTTAAGCTAACCCTAGTGGCACAGGCAGTAGGCTGCCACTGTGTTAAGCTGGAGCCGTATGGGAAGGCCTAGAATTAAGATCCCAGGTTGACCTAAACACACCAGTTACACCTATGATCTTGACTGACTGGAAAGCTGGGGTGGGAGTGGATCATGGAATGGTGAAGCCCAATCAAGAGTGTTCTCTCTCAATAAATAAATAAATAAAAGCTTTTAAAAAAAGAATTTTTAGAAGGCTCTGACTTTGATCAATATATTACTTCTCAGAGAACATATTCATAAGTTGACTGCACTAAAAATTTTTAAAACTGATGTAAATCTGGAAAAGTAGAACCTTCACATCTTTTCATAGTTTCATTTTCTATACATCTGTTAAAATAAGGGGTCAACACATAATGAAGACTTAAGTTGCATTATGTATACACACACATACGTACATGACCAATTGATAAATTCTATTTTGTACTGGCTTCTTTTTTAAACTTTATGTATTTTTTCTGCAACAGGGTGGGGGGCATTCTCAACAAGGTCTTCATGTTTTTCACTCTCAGTCTTTGCCGGCCTGAATCAGGGGCATGTGTTTGCACAGCTGGCACGCCCAAAGAGGTTCCAGGATACAAACCCACGACCTCTCCCATTTGGGTCTACTTGCACCACTGCTGCACCACCACCTGACCCCTGACCCCTGGTTTTCTCTTTTAAGGGAGACAGTATTTGTGGGGAAATATTTTATTTTAGTTATTCTCAGGATGAATTGGTATCTAACAGATTTTTTGATAATTAAGCAGGAAACTCCATACATATTCCTTGCATCTATATTTAAATAATCTTGTTATATAAACCTGAATTCTTTGACTTAGTCAATGTTCAATGAAGGCCAGATGCTCATCAAGCAAAGAATTAAAGGAAATGAAAGAATTAGCCATGTAGATGTCTGGTTCAAGGAAGGCCACCCCACTTTCTTTTGGCTGCACCAGATGTTGAATGATCAATCCCTTTGCTCAACCATTTCTAAAATATTTTAATGCTTCAGAGGAATAGATGGTGCAAAGACCTTAAGGTAGGAGCATGCCTGGTACGTTCAAAGAAGAGCAAGAACACCAGTATATCTGTTATGAATGAATGAAGGGAGGAGTACTAGGAAATTAGTTCAGAGAGGTCATAAGACTGGATTGGACCTTAAAAACCACTCTATGCATTTTGGCATTTATTTTGATTAACATGGGGAAGGTTGAATGGTGTTGAGCAGTGGAGTAACATGCTCTGGCTTCTGTTTAAGCAGAATCTGGGGGCTGTGCTGAGAAACAGCTATAGAGGAACAGGAGTGTAAACCAGTAGACCAGTTAGGAACTTCTTGCCATATTCCAGGCAAAAAACTGGGCTTTAGAACAGAGATATAACAGTGGAGGTGAAGAATGTTCAGACTCAAGATATTATTTATTTTTTGTTTTGAGAGATTTTTGCTATAGGGCACATGCACTCACCAGAGAAACACAGAGACAGAAAGCGAGAAATCACCCCCAAGGTGAATGGCCACACCACAATTCCTTCTTCTCCATTCTCCTCTCAGGATTTCGGGGCATACATGTACACATGGCCAGCATGAGTTTTAAGCTGCCAGGTCCAGGATTTGAATCACAGTCGACTACAGGGGAGTTCAGAGATGTAACCATGAACCCATCTGCCTGTTGCAGATTCTAGATATTTTTAAGAGCCAAAAGGCATTCAGATAGTTTAAATAGAAGTAATAGACTTAAACAATTATAGTCTAAATTGTACTTGCTAAGATAAAAAGCCTATTTAAATTTTCATAAATATTTGGAACTAGCAGATGGCATAATGGTTATGTTGCTGGACTCCCTCGTAGTTGACCACAGTTCAAGTCCCAGACCCAGCAGCTTAAAACTCACACCAGATGTGTATGCATGCATGCCGAGGACCCCAAGAGGAGAATGGAGGAGAAGGGATTGCAGCATGGCCATCTCCCCTGGCGGGTGATTTCTTGGTTTCTGTCTCTGTTTTTTTGGTGAACACAAGTGCCCTATAGCAAAAATCTCTCCATGCACGTACACACACCCAGAGCGATTTTCAAGCCACCAGGTCTGGGACTCAAACTGCAGTTGGCCATGTGTGGGTTCAGCAACAAAATCACTACACCATCTGTTGTTCTCTGGGTATACTTCTAAAAATATCTTTCTTTTATACTATTTAGTCTTTCCTCCAGTTGGCTCAACTGTGAGCCCTCACCAATATTAAACATTGATGGGGCCAGATGGTGGTACAGCAGTAAAATAGAATGTTCTTCAAGGCAGTTTCACATGGGAAGTTCCCCAGTTCAGTTCCAGAGACCTTCCTGAGTGGGCTGGACACATTCTTGCCCATGATATGGAGCTAACTGAAGGCTGAGGATGGATTGCAGCATGTAGACCCTATTAGGAGTGTGTGTGTGTGTGTGTGTGTGTGTGTGTGTGTGTGTGTGTGTGTGTCTTTATCTCTCTCACTCATAGAATAATTTTTAAAAATATTTAACATCACTATTGTGCTTTACTGTAAAATGTTTATTATCAGTGTATTTTTAACTTGTTAAAATAGTAATAAAGAGAGTGAAAATTGTAAGAGCTTCTATTTTATCACTGAGCATATTTTGTGCTCCTTGAGGATAAGGAACAGAATAAGGACAAACACATCTCTTAAATTCTAATTTGTCAAAACTTATATTTACTTATGAAGCTCTACTTAATGAAAAAATTGTGATCACCTCAACGGAAAGAACTGTTTTTTTCATTTGTTGAATGGAATTGAATCATTTCGGCAGACATGAAAGTGATTCAGGCCCATTTACCAAGTGTCATTATTTTGTATCACATTTATTACATCTACACCATGAGTCAGACTAAAACAACACAATAAGTGAAACATGGTTTCCAATCTTTGATTAATCATGTACAGAGTGGCTTCTTTGCACCAAGACCCTATGAAAGTGCTAGAGACATTGTGGTAACTATGACATGGACTCAACTCACTAAGAGTTGGAAGAAGCTAAGGCCGACATGTGGGAATCAGTTAAGGAGCTAAACAAGATATCCTGTAGTCAAATACTAAATAGTTTGGTAAAGACAATAAGTCAATAGGAACTGAGTGGAGCAGAGGTTGACAAAGGCCTATACTTGACAGGAGACTGGACTTTATTTGTCCTCAAAGGATGCGGAAGATTTGTATAGAAAATGGCAAAGAGGGCATATCAGATAGGGAGAAAATGAGCAAAGGCCTTAGAGGTGGAAGCAAACATGGTGAGTTGAGAGAAAAGTAAGGAACCTGGACTGGATGGGAGAATGCTAGTGAACAGTTGGGGGAAGGGAGTTGGAAAAGTAAGGTAAAATTCAATTCCAAAAGCCCTAGAGATGAGCAAATGTGGTCAGACTTAGCACTCAATTGTCTTTGTAGTACAGTATGACACAATAGTTGCTGACTTGTGCCAGTATGGCTCTTGTGAACTTGGTGTCGTTCATATGTCCTCATCATTTTTCTTGTAAGATTTTCCTCCCCTGTGCCTTTGGTTGTTGCTACTTGCATGTTCAAGTCAGAATGTACTTTCTCATTTAGGGGAAGCACTGGTTCATCAGATCTCAATGACCAGGAGGCTGGTCCTGGGACCCCGAAGAGCACCCGGCGCAATGGTATGACTACAGTCACCCAGAATTTTGAAGGTAACCCTAGTGGCACAGGCAGTAGGCTGCCACTGTGTTAAGCTGGAGCCGTATGGGAAGGCCTAGAATTAAGATCCCAGGTTGACCTAAACACACCAGTTACACCTATGATCTTGACTGACTGGAAAGCTGGGGTGGGAGTGGATCATGGAATGGTGAAGCCCAATCAAGAGTGTTCTCTCTCAATAAATAAATAAATAAAAGCTTTTAAAAAAAGAATTTTTAGAAGGCTCTGACTTTGATCAATATATTACTTCTCAGAGAACATATTCAAAAGTTGACTGCACTAAAAATTTTTAAAACTGATGTAAATCTGGAAAAGTAGAACCTTCACATCTTTTCATAGTTTCATTTTCTATACATCTGTTAAAATAAGGGGTCAACACATAATGAAGACTTAAGTTGCATTATGTATACACACACATACGTACATGACCAATTGATAAATTCTATTTTGTACTGGCTTCTTTTTTAAACTTTATGTATTTTTTCTGCAACAGGGTGGGGGGCATTCTCAACAAGGTCTTCATGTTTTTCACTCTCAGTCTTTGCCGGCCTGAATCAGGGGCATGTGTTTGCACAGCTGGCACGCCCAAAGAGGTTCCAGGATACAAACCCACGACCTCTCCCATTTGGGTCTACTTGCACCACTGCTGCACCACCACCTGACCCCTGACCCCTGGTTTTCTCTTTTAAGGGAGACAGTATTTGTGGGGAAATATTTTATTTTAGTTATTCTCAGGATGAATTGGTATCTAACAGATTTTTTGATAATTAAGCAGGAAACTCCATACATATTCCTTGCATCTATATTTAAATAATCTTGTTATATAAACCTGAATTCTTTGACTTAGTCAATGTTCAATGAAGGCCAGATGCTCATCAAGCAAAGAATTAAAGGAAATGAAAGAATTAGCCATGTAGATGTCTGGTTCAAGGAAGGCCACCCCACTTTCTTTTGGCTGCACCAGATGTTGAATGATCAATCCCTTTGCTCAACCATTTCTAAAATATTTTAATGCTTCAGAGGAATAGATGGTGCAAAGACCTTAAGGTAGGAGCATGCCTGGTACGTTCAAAGAAGAGCAAGAACACCAGTATATCTGTTATGAATGAATGAAGGGAGGAGTACTAGGAAATTAGTTCAGAGAGGTCATAAGACTGGATTGGACCTTAAAAACCACTCTATGCATTTTGGCATTTATTTTGATTAACATGGGGAAGGTTGAATGGTGTTGAGCAGTGGAGTAACATGCTCTGGCTTCTGTTTAAGCAGAATCTGGGGGCTGTGCTGAGAAACAGCTATAGAGGAACAGGAGTGTAAACCAGTAGACCAGTTAGGAACTTCTTGCCATATTCCAGGCAAAAAACTGGGCTTTAGAACAGAGATATAACAGTGGAGGTGAAGAATGTTCAGACTCAAGATATTATTTATTTTTTGTTTTGAGAGATTTTTGCTATAGGGCACATGCACTCACCAGAGAAACACAGAGACAGAAAGCGAGAAATCACCCCCAAGGTGAATGGCCACACCACAATTCCTTCTTCTCCATTCTCCTCTCAGGATTTCGGGGCATACATGTACACATGGCCAGCATGAGTTTTAAGCTGCCAGGTCCAGGATTTGAATCACAGTCGACTACAGGGGAGTTCAGAGATGTAACCATGAACCCATCTGCCTGTTGCAGATTCTAGATATTTTTAAGAGCCAAAAGGCATTCAGATAGTTTAAATAGAAGTAATAGACTTAAACAATTATAGTCTAAATTGTACTTGCTAAGATAAAAAGCCTATTTAAATTTTCATAAATATTTGGAACTAGCAGATGGCATAATGGTTATGTTGCTGGACTCCCTCGTAGTTGACCACAGTTCAAGTCCCAGACCCAGCAGCTTAAAACTCACACCAGATGTGTATGCATGCATGCCGAGGACCCCAAGAGGAGAATGGAGGAGAAGGGATTGCAGCATGGCCATCTCCCCTGGCGGGGGACTTCTTGGTTTCTGTCTCTGTTTTTTTGGTGAACACAAGTGCCCTATAGCAAAAATCTCTCTATAAATAAATAAATACATTTTCATAGATATTTAAGCAAATGGATTCTGTTCAATGGCTAGGAAAGTACATGGACAGCTGACTTTTTGGCAACCTAACAAGGAATGATATTCAAAATGTTCAGCAACTGGTATGACAGGAACACTTAGAAGTCAGAATGGACACTGACACAAAGCTGGGATAATATCCTAGGGATCCTTCCTTGCCATGCAGTAACCTGGATTATGAGGAGTGCTGGGATTGTGAAAAGGGGGAGCAGGGGGAATGGAGGGTGGACTGAGGGTGGTGATACTGTTTACCAACTAATACAGAAGAATTAAATTCTTTTTTTCTGCAGAGGTTTTTGCTATAAGGTACATGTGCTCACCAGAAAGACAGAGAGGGACAGAGAGATAGAAAGTGAGAAATCGCCCCCCAAGGGAATGGCCACACCGTAATCCCTTCTCCTCCATTCTCCTCTTGGGATCTTGGGCATGCACGCACATGCACCCGGCGTGAGTTTAAGCCGCTGGGTCCGGTACTCAGACCATGGTCGACTATGTGGGAGTCCAGCAACATAGCCATTATGCCAACTGTTGGTCCCAAGGAATTTAAAAAATTTAGCTGGTGTTAGCAGGCCATGTAGTGGTTGGGGTGCTGGACACCTGCATGGCCGATCATGGTTCAAGTCCTGAACCTGATGGCTTGAAATCATGCTGGGCTCATGTGCGTGTGTGCCCAAAATCCTGGGAGGAGAATGGAAGAGAATGAATTGCAGCATGGCGGGGGTGGGTGATTTCTCACTTTCCCTCTCAGTCTCTCTCTAAGTGACACACACCCTATGACAAAACCCTAAAAAAAGAAAAAATGAACTGCTGTTGTAGCTGACTATCGATCCAATTATCCATGTTAAAGCTTGTTCTCAGAAGAATTATTTTCCTAAGTACCACTTGAGATTATTAGAGGGAAAAATCACTATTGTAATGAAATAATACTCTCAAAACAACAGCTCATAAATTTGTGTTTCTTTATTAAAGAACATATGGGCTCAGACACCATGACACTAAGGTAATGCAAGTGCCCTGCAAGGGTGGAAGCCATACAGCTGACTGCAAGTTTGGGTTCCTGGGTCAGTCTGAAAACACACCTGGCATGCACACAGGCCTCTGGGATCCTGAGGAGCTAGGTGGCTGGGAAAAGGGGATTAGCAGTGTGATAAGACCCTGTTGAGGGTACTCCAGAATCCCCATGAATTCTCATGCACTATTTTTAAAAGAAAAAAAATTTCTTAAAGAGTACTTGTATCTCCCTGACAGCAATTCCATTCAGTTGGGTTGAGAATGTGTACATTTAAATAGGTAGTGCCGATGTTGATCTCACCCTTTCATGCTAGCAGATCTAAAATAGTCTTTTCTGTGAGAAAAATAAAAGAGACAAAGAGAAATATTTTCTGTTGAATAAAAATGAGACATTACAGAAGTCGGTGAAGCACATTTGGTCATTCGTGATGAAAGATAGAAGTATATAGGGTTATGAACTTTTCAACTTCTCTCATTTCTCTTTGTTTCATTATTCTTTTGTACTTTCCATGTAAAAAAATTTTAAATAGAAAACTTCTAGAACATGAAAGTCTCTAACCTGTCCTCTGCTATGACGTAATCTATTAATTTTAGTATTAGCATCTTGAACCTCCAGGTTATGTATTGCATGTTAATGACTGTACGATATTAATTGGCCTATTAGTGCTCAGTAGTAATGATACTTCCAGATTGCCTGTGGGAAAATTTACCATCAACATAATTGTCACCAAGGCACTTACCCTTGTTTCGTTAGAGGACTCCACAGGTGAACAACTTTTTAAAGAGGTGTTGAAAATTGACCTAAACTAATTAATCCATTTGACCTCTGTCACGCTCTTTTGATAAACATTGGTGGTCTATGGCAAGTAGAGATCTAGGAGCTATATACTTCCTGCCACAGCCATTATGTGGTAGAGAATAATAGAAGATTAAAAACAGAGCCAGCCGGTGGCATGGTGGTAAAGGTGACTAGATCCTACATGACCAACTGCCTGGTTTGAATACCAGAGTTGGTGATTTGGTAAACAAACTGGGCACATGTGCATGCATGTCCAAAATCCCAAAAGGAGAATGGAAGAGAAGAGATTTGCATCATGGCCATTCCTCCTTCCCTTTGGATGGTACTTTCTTTCTCTCTCTCTTTCTGTTTCTTGCCAGCAAGCACACATGCCCTATAGCAAAGTATTTTTTCAAAAAGATCAAAAACAGTCTAAATTGAAGCTGAATTGATTAGCATGCTAAGCAAGTAAGAGGTACCTCTCTCTAGAGTGACTTAGTCGAAGTATCTTTGAATGTCTAATTTGTGGGCAACAGAAGGGAATTCTTTCTCGGAGAACTTCGAAAGGCACTTTTTGATTATTAATCAAAGAGATAAATGAAAAGTCTTTTTTTTGTTTGTTTGATCATTATCACACCATGATGTCATTTGCATGGAAATTTAGCCTCAACCTAGTTCTTGAAGGTTCAAAAATTCATTTTTTAATGCCTGTCAAGCAGACTTGGGATGGTACAGCAATCGAACCCTGTGGGCATGGGCAAAGTTGAAAGATTTTGTTTATTGTATGATACAGTGAAAGCAAGCCTTAGAATGAATTGTGCCACAGGTGAAAAGCATTTATTAGCAAGCAGCGCACCCCAAAATCACCTATTCCCATAAGCTGGTGAAGTCCTAACTCTGTCCATTTATAAACACTGATAAGTGCCATGCATGAAAGTTTCATTCCAACATAGATGTAGCCAACCTTATTCTGATCAATTAGTCTTCTAGATGGAAACATTGATATGGTCTTCTATTAAATAAAGGAGGAAATGAGGTGGTTGATGTGAGAAGATATTGACAGGGGAGACGAACATAGGATCAACCAAGTGCTTCTCTGAGGATGTGAAACTTGCCAGATTTTTGCCTGATCTTCTAGTTTATGTAAGACTAGCATAGCAGTACCTGGGCCCAACAGATGATGTAATGATTATATCACTGGACTCCCACGGTAGTTGACCCATGGTAGTTGACCTTGGTTCAAGTTCTGGACCCAGCATCTTAAAACTCATGCTGGACATGTGTGCATGTGTGCTGAAAATCCCAAAAGGAGAGAATGGAGGAGAAGGGACTGTGGCGTGGTCACCCTCAATTCCCCACCCCCCCCAGGGATTGATTTATCACTTTCTATCTCTCTGTATTTCTCTGGTGAGTGCATGCTCACTTTAGGAAAAATCTCTATCTTAAAAAAAATGATTAGAGGTACTTGTATCATCTTTCTTACTAACCTTATAGCAGAACACTCACTAATTTTGTGAATGAAAAGTGATCCCGACACTCTTTGTGTTAATTAACAAATTTCTTGGAATAGATTTTAGATAGCAATTTTTGATAATAAGTTTTGGAGTTATATTTTTTCTTTTGAACTCCTGATGAGGGTCTTTCAATTGTCAATTAGTTCGTCATAAAAGGTAATACACATAAATGTGCTTATACTGAAGTATATTTATAGGAAGAATTTTAAAGTAAATTATAATCAGTGCAATCTTTTTTTTTCTTTGTGGGAAGGAGCATGGTTTTGAAAATTCCATTGGTTTGGCTGCCATTGAAAGCAACTCTGAGGAGCCCAAGAAAGGTCATTGCAGAAGTGCTTCGGGTACACCTTCCATAGCTGTGTCTGGGGCCTCTCTCTCTTCAGGTTAGTATTTACTACATACCGACTCTTTTGAAAAAAAAAAAGACTAAATCAGATAAAGTTGACTGCTGAGTGTGTATTAAATGAATGTTTCATGACTTAGAAAATAATCACCTATTCTTTGACCTATGGTGGTAGGCCTACTCTATGAGTCCTGCTTTGAGGTAGACCCAGATGATGCTTTGGAACTTTTACATTCATGAAAATTCAGAATATTAATATAGGAGTGTAGGAAATAGAAATGATTCTTAGATATGTTTGATATGACAGGTAACAGTAGGTAATTTAATTCATATGGTAATTCAAAGTTCCCTGTAACCAGAAAAATAAATTATTCCATAGTTTAAATAAGGAGTTTGAAAGCAGCATTAGGTATTAATAATTACTCCTTTTATTTATATGGTACATTTAAATATGTTATTTAACTCAATAATCACAGCCATCCTCTGAAGCAGCTATTTATATTGAAAGTTATTTTTAAATAATTATTTTTATTATTTTAACTTTATTCATTTATTTATTTAAATCTGACTGGAGAGGGGGAGAAGGAATAGAGAAAGAGAGGAAAAGAGAGAGAGAGAGAAAGTGAGAAAGCAAGCTGCCAAGTCTGGGACTCAAACTGTAGTTGGCCATGTGGACATTTCTGCATTTCACTCAGGAGCAGAAAAGCAATTCACCAGTTAAGAGAAAAAAAATTTAACTGGCCTAGAAGCAAATACCATAGCATCTACTTCTACTTCTCAACAGCTCCTGTTTATTGAGAATAAACAGTGTGTCAGGCACCGTGTTAAGCACTTCTGTATTATTTAATTAACCATTTTAAACTTAAGGCCTTGGAACTAGGTGATGGCACAGTGGTGACACAACTGGACCCACAGAGGAAAAGTCCTGGGTTTATGTCTTAGGCCCTCCCTGAGCAACGGGGCATGCATGTACCCACGATCCAGTCTGGTTGAGACTGGGTGTGGATCACTGCATGAGGACCCTGTAGTGGTATTGTCTCCATGTCTCTGTCTCTCTAGCTCTCTTTGCCTGTTAATCTCATGGAAAGAAAGAAACTTTCAAAAAATAAAGTAATACACAATAAACTTAAAATAAACTTATATCCTTGATTGTTTCTCCAATCTCTCTCATTTATAAACAGCTATAACTCAGCAGGGCTTTGGCATAGAACTATTGTGTGAAAATAAACTGTCCTAACTTGGTAAGCTGTCCAGAGTACTACTGAAGAATGTATTGTTCTTTAACCTATCATTTTAAAACTAGAGGCAAAATGTTCTTTTCATGAATACAATATTCTGGTGCTTAAAGAAACAGAGCTTCTTCTCAGTTTATATGTTGTCACTCACTTTTTGGATGAAAGGAGCTTGCTAAAACATTTAAATGTGGAAGGTTAGAATTTGTTGCCTTGCATTTTATGTCAAACATGAAAGCACAGTGGATTCTTTAAATATTGAAATGAAGAATATTTAATGTTTTATTCTTTTTTCAAGCTTAAGGGTTCATTCTAAGAGTTTTTTAGCCCAGGAGCAGAAGACTCAGACAGCTTACAACTTAGCATTTTATAGTAGAACATTTAACCTTCTGTGATCAAAGGATAAGTGAACACGTAAGTGTTAGTAATTCAGTACAAGGCAATTTCCAGAACACCATGAAAAATGAAAGTACATTAACATAAGCAGCATGAAGTAACTGACGCTGTTGCTTTCATGACACTACCTATTTCTTATGCCTAAAAAGAATCAGAATAAAGACGAAACATCTGCAATGCAAACTTCTAACAAGGGCCAGCCTGTGATATGGTGGTTAAGTAGGCTGGCTCCTACATGGCCAACTTCATGGTTGGAGTCCTAGACCTGGAAGCTTGAAAAATACACCAGGTGCATGAGCATGCATGCCCAAAAATCTTCTGAGAGGAAAATGGAGAAGAAGGGATTGTGTTGTGGTCATCCTCTTTGGGGGTGCTTCCTCAGTTTCCCTCTCTCTGTCGACGACACGTGTTCTGTAGAAAAGCTATAACAAAGAAACAAACTTCTAACAAAATAAGCTGATTCATATCTTTCTTTTTCTTTTCCTCCTCTAGAGCGGAGTCGATCAGACTTAGACTTGAGTGAGTCATTTACAGAAGACTTAGAGGATACTGTAAGCACAAGAAGCAAGTCCGTCCCTGGGGCTTTAGACAAAGACTTGGTAAGTTGATGTAGAAGACTCTAAGGATATTGAGGAGAGAAAGGCATAATCTTGCTCCAAGCAGTTCCTCTTTTAGGTGATGATGAGCCAAGAGTAAGAATGAGGATATAACAGTATCTCTTCCTACTAATCCTAACCGTCTATATATAAAAGCAACTGAGAGAAGTGTTTAGAAACATTAATCAGGAAAGAACATTCATATCTCCTTTGGAAATGCACAGAAAATCAACTAGAGGGGCCAGCAGGTGACATGGTGGTTAAGGGAACTGGATTTCCACATGGTGGATGACAGTTCAAATCCTGGATCCAGTGACTTCAAAATCACACCAGGTATTTGAATGTTCCTGACTAAAGGGACAGCACCTAGTCAAAACCTGGGAAACAGAGTATCTCATCATATCATAAAACAAATATTACTAGATTCATCAAACCATATATTTTCTATGGACAGTTCTATATCTCCAGTTATCCCCAATAAACTACATTCTTTTTTTTTTTTTTTTTTGGAGAGGTTTTTGGTATAGGGCGCGTGTGCTCGCCAGAAAGACAGAAAGAGACAGAGAGACAGAAAGCAAGAAATCACCCCCCAGGGAGGATGGCCGCACCGCAATTTCTTCTCCTTCCTTCTCCTCTCGGGATCTTGGGCATGCATGCACATGCACTCGATGTGAGTTTAAGCCACTGGGTCTGGGACTCAAACTACAGTCAACTACATGGGAGCCCAGCGACATAGCCATTATGCTAACTGCTGGTCCCTAAACTACCTTCTTCATTGAGATTAAATTGCGTGCAAATTAATGTTTTGGTGAACTCATTTATAAAATGAGAAGGTTAAATTAGATTATTATTAAGGCTTCTTCCCACTCTAACGTTCTGATATTTTGATTTCTGTAATTGCTAAAATAAAATTTGAACTCCATAGAAGACAAATGTAACACAAATATTAAATGATATTAATAGTTTTTCCAGGACTGGGGGTCTGGAAGGGAAGCAGTGGGTGCAGCATGCCCCCTTGCTCACCAGGTGCCTTGAGATGTGCCTGGCAGCTGCCGCCAAAGGCGCAGGCAGGTGTCTTGAGATGTGCCAGGACCCACCCAGACCCCTAGGCAGGTAGAAATTTCCTCCATTTTTTTTCTTCTTTACTGTCCCCCATTCTTTTGTAAATTCCTTCCTATCT